TGATGGATTAAGCTGATTCTTTATTGTGATGTGCATCAAAAAGCTGTTAAATTAGGTGTCATTATATTCATTTTCTTTTCTTGTTATGTTGCTGTAATATTAACTTGCTGGTGGTTAGTCTTATGACTCTTATCTCTCCGTGCCGTTGTTTTATTCTTCATTTTTTTCATATTGTTCTTCAGGAAAATCTAAAGGTTGGTATTGTTTTATTAAAGGTGTATACATTGGGACTATAATAATAAGTCTTGTTAACAGTGAAGATTGATTTCTGCTTATGTGTTTTTGAGGATTAAGGCATCGTTCACAGTGCGGTTCCATGTGACCTCTTTTTGTCTGTTTATCTAATTTTGGATTCATTGTTCGATGATGACAAAAGAGTCTTTGAACATTGTATAAATGTTGTCTGATAGATTGGTTATATTGGTTTTGATATACATTTTGACATATGCAGACAAGATCTGTATTGCGATAATCCAAATCCTTGATGGTCACAAATGAAAGAACTAATAATCATAACTATATTTGCATCCACCTTCCTATAACAACAATCTACTTACAAAGATTTGATTTTCCGGACAATTCCCCAATCTACAATTGTCTAATTACTATTTTCCCACCAAACCCATGAGAGCATGTTTGTGTTGCCAACCGCAACTTCCATCCTTGTCGTAGGTGAAAAGGAGAAAAGAGATCGAAAACGTCGTTTCCCAAAATCTCTCTTATCTCTCATGTTCCGCTTGTCGTTTGTCTTCTGCTTTTCAGTACGATTGGAGCCACCAGCATCCAAACTGTCACGTTTCGTCAACAAAACATTACAAAACTGTCTCCCAAACTAAGAGGTTTAAGGATGAAAGCATTAAAAATGTGGCATGACTCAGTTGTTTCAACTTACTGTATACGCAAACCGCAAGCCACTCGTTCACAACCCTTACCCAAGTACTCGTCCATCCCACATCAATCGTCCACCTGAAAGCGAAAAAAAATAAAAATGAAACAGTATGAGTTTAGTGTCTCAAGCTTCAAACTACACAACAAAGTCTCACAAAAAAAGGTCACAAGTTTACTTTTTCATGGGGTGATGAGTGTTCCAGCCGATGAGTAGCATAGCGAAGTACATTGCTCCTGTGGCAAATACAAAATGGAAGAAGCCATATCCATATGGAACA